TTAACGGCAAGATCCAAAACCACAAAACGCTGACTTGCAGTGCTGTCATTCCAGTTTTTTTGGGTATTTCAGCATAAAGTGCTTTCGCTCTATTCATGTCAGATGAGCAGTTTTATACTTTATATAATATTACGCAGAAATGCTTACATTTACATAAGAATACTGACTATATTTCAATACGTTAATCGTTTATGGTGAAGACTTAACTATTCTTCCTCATGCAGGGAGTTTTAAGTGAAATAATTGCATTCATATGCATAGATTTTATGAAAAATAAAATTCCATCATCACATGGTTAATAATCTTTTCGCAAATCTGTTTTACTCGACGAGTTAAGTAATGCTATGTGATAAATAGCTAGGAATTATGAAATACATGTTTATTGTTAACGGGCAAGTTAAAATGCTCAAATCTATCTTTCTCGACAGTAAAATAGTTCTGAAAGCCAGATTCCATTCTTAGAGGTATACTAAAAACAGTGCATGCTTCGTAATGAAAACGTTTAAGGAAAAATTGTTGGATACGCTTCTGTTTTCGACTTTAGAAACAGACTAAAAATTCACTTTCCTTAGCTTACTTATTTTATTCTTTCCACCTTTTTTTGTTTTGAAAAACCTTAAAATTAATTTTAAATTACCACTGAAATGAGATGCATTGACAACATTTTTAACTGTTCTTAATCTCTGCATAAAATGTATCCAATTTTAACATCACTGACAAATATAATAATGTAAAGTATAAATTATTAGGAATTGTTCAAGCACATATTTCAAAAAGGGACTCTAATGTTAATTTCAATAAATTTTCTAACTTGAATGCGATACGAGCAACCATTTTGGATCTAAATAACTTTAAAGTGAAATGCGAGTATTATCTATTCCATTTACTCTCAAGCGTTTTTGAAACAGAATACTTCATGATCTTTTCCGGAAATTACTTTCGATTTCCAAAAGTGATGAAATTACGTTTCTGGAATGCAATTCTCTAGTGCATTACCCACTGAATAAACTCACTGAATTTCAGATTAATTTGTTGACTTAAAGTTCAGTCTCAATATTCCATCTGTTATTTTTTCTCTTTTGATTAGAACAGAACTCCGTTTAAAATACAAGGCAGATGTTTTCTCAACGGCCTTAACTAGGTTTCGAATCTTGTATGCAAGATCTTAATTAAATGTAAAATTTGTTTCTTGAATTGTCACTAACTAAAAGAGTTGTTATTATTACTAAATTCATAAGTGATTTATAAATTAGTAATCTTTCAATAATTTGATAAAATTTTGCATTATACCTGCACTTAGTGTTTCTCCAAAGTAAAAGGGGAACACTTTTTTTTTAACACAACAATGAGTATTATGTACGGAAGTTTACTCAAGGAAGGTATAATTTGTTCCATTCTTTACCTTCCTTATTCTTCTCTATATATTTTTACTTCGGCTTAGTTCATTATTTATTTATTTAAAGAAAACCTTTTATACACTTTTCATATTTTAAAATTAATTGCAGTACAGAACTGTTACTATCTTTATCAAACATCATCTCTATAAGAATACCAAAAATCATCTGGAATCATTAGTGGTTGTCTAATTGAGGGTGCAGTAGCACATGTATGAGTTTTGTTGACTCAGGCCAAATATATAATTTTTAATATCAATTTATTTGCAATTATATACATTTAAAGAAAATTATCAATATAAACGGGTTGTTAGTCTCGAAACATGATTTTGCGTTGTTTCACTTTGCATTCGTGTATATTGCTATTCGGCAAAATGTAGGATATCAATGTTTCTAATTTAATCTGTCTATTATTGACAAAAAACCTAAGCTTTTTAAAAGTGAAAAATACAATTTTTAAGAATATTAATTTTTTACTTTTTTGATTTGGTTGGTTTAAATAAAAATACATTTAATTCTTGACCTATCTAATTAAAATCATTAAATATTTTTGTAAAATTACGTTATGTATTTTCAGTAACTTTCAAATATACAGAAGGTATTTAACTTTTCCATGTTAGTCTAAATATGTATATACCTAGTTATGCTCTGAAATGCTTCAATTATATGTATATATATCAATTATATGAATGTTATGTATATACCTTGTTATGCCTGGGCTATCTCTATTGCTAATCTCTATTGATAAAACGTACGTATTAAGTATTAATACAGCCCTTTTGAGTGACCATGAAAAATTATTATATTATTATCATTATTAGTTATTACACTTATCTTGTACCTACATGTTATAATTTACTATGGACGCACACATTAGACGTATCATTAAACATATCTGTTTTACACATTCTTATAATTTACATGCATATTACAGTTATAAGATTCTAGCTAAATTGGTAACTAGAACACATGAGAAGTGTGTAATGACTGTTCGCCTACTTCTACGACTGTAAGAGCAAGTCCAAAGAGGGTTTGAATTACACTTTTAGTTTACTCAATATTTACAGCTGTAGCCTTTCGGATTTACAGGAAACTTCCACTTGGGCTTAATATAGAAAATAAGAAATTAATCTAATGTTAAGAACTAGCAGAAGCTGCACAGAGATAACTAACAGAGTTGGCCTTAATTTAAAGCTCACTGGCGAATTCTAGAAGGTACGTAACAATACGGCCGAACGTTGAAAGATTGGCTTAAAGCAACAAAGTGGCCAGAAGGCAGAACATGCTCTACTAAGAACTTCTAAGCTCTCGTACGGAAGTGACCAAGACTTTCCCTTAAACACTGATTCTACCTCATTTACATAAAATGCGAACCTGAACACTCATTCTGGCCAGGTAATTCTAGGCGGGAAACAAGAGAATAAAGGAAAGCTGTTAAAAGTTTAAAATAACTGATAGAAAATTATAATAACGCCTACACGGTGACATATTACAATTGCATATTACAATGATATATTACAATTCCATATTACATTGGTGTCTTAAAATTACATATTACAATGATCTATTGCAATTACATAACATATATAGGGTAGTCATAAAAATCTTCGCCAATATGTGAACCTCTAATGGCCTGCCCGCTCAATGAATCGAAATGAAATTTCAGATATTGTAATTTGTAGGTATGCGCTTGAGACTGTGATGATTTAAAAGAATAAATCTGTCACGGTTACAGTGAAAACATTTCAAAATTTTTAACAGAAAAATCCACGATTTTACTGCGCAAGCTTGTCAACGCAGTAAAAGACCATAAATGCCGTCGGAACGATACACGTATGGCGAACACTGTCTAAAACTTTAGGAAAGAAGAGCTTTAAAAACACAAGAGAACGAAAAAAATAACATTTAGTTAAATTAACAGTTTTCAAGGTATACAACGTTTCAAGATAAAGTCATGGAGTCTCACACCAACGGATTTTTATTTCTGGGATTATCTGAAATATAAGGCGTCCACATCAAATATTATATATATAATATAAATTTTTTTGCTTTAAAAATCATTGAATTATGGTGTTCTTATCTTCCGGTTAAGGTTCTTATGCTAGTTAATCTGCATGCAATAGTTGTAGAATTATCAACAATTTAAAAGTTGTTTAAGTACGGCTAAGCCTAATTTTTTTATCATATCAGCCATATTTGTTTACATTTGAAACTTAGCAGAGCAGTGAATTAAGTCTTTCTGCACCTTCAGTGTCTTTTTTCCGATTGGGACGAAAGGGAAACTTTTAGTTTTATGCACCGAAAAATCTGTCTTCTTGCCTGCTGGCTGAATTGCTTAATTTTGCGTAGAAACTCTACTTTTATTTGTAAAAACTTTTTTTTTTAATTTTTAATTTTTTTTTCATGTTTTTATATTTTCAATTTTTAATGAAGATATTTTGAATTTTCCAGTATTTTTGCCTTGTCGCGAAGTGAGAACTGAATAATTGAATGAGTAATATATCTCTAATGAAATTCGTGGAAATAAGTTAAAATGAAATGCAGGGAAAATGCGTATAATTTAATATTCCGTACAATTAAGTCATGTTGTATACACATCAGATGTTTTTTAATATCCGTTTCGTATTTTATAAAACTTGTATTTTTGATTATTTGATTTTTTGATTTTTTTGATTTTGTATCAAAAGGATTTTTGATTCAAAAACTCAATTTCAAAGCGAGCAGTGTCAACATTATGGAATAAAACATTTTTATCTCCATTACTCGAGACTGCCCATCGGAAATTCTAAAGATATACTGTGTATAAATATTTGTAGCCCATATGCTCTTGAAACAGCTGTCTGTGCGTAGATGAAAAAAAGAAACTCCTCTTTCGTCATAAAAATCTAAGAGTTTTCAATTTTTTTAAACTTTTCTTGGCATCTTTATGAATTGAGTTCAACCAAACATAGGTATTATTTTGTTTTGTCCTTCCTTTTCGTTTCTCGACATAAATGCTTTTAGTACTCAATTCTATCCACGATTCAGGTTTTAAAATCATTTCTATCGACAACGTGCTTTACATTTTTAATTTTTCTTTTCAGAGATATAGCAAATGCCAGGTACCTATTCCGAAAAGATTGTATATTAGTTTAGCATTTATTTGTGCATATGATGATGCCTTGTTGGTTATATATGACAAAGAAGGTGCATGTTGAAAAAATTAAGTTCCTGTAAAATAGCCAATAAAGATTTTCTCCTAATCTAAGGTTATCAATATGATCCGTATGAAATTCAAGATTTTTTTTAAATATATCGCAATTTAAATTACTTTCACGAAATATGACACTTGCCGCCGTAAGATAAAATATTTCGAAGGTACATGAACTACTTTTCATCAAGCTTACGAATCTGAAATTCGTTCTTTCTTTTGTACGAACTAAAACTTATTTGCTTTAAATTATCTCAAGAAAAACCGTTCCTTTTCAGAAAGTTTTAACAATGCGAATGGTGTAAAATTACGAATGCAAAGAAATGTCTTATTCTCCCTTATTACGGACATCCTTTTTATAGTATTCTTTTTCATTTCTTTTTTAACACTTATATTCCTTTCACTTTCTTTAACAGATGCTGAGGACTGGAGACTCAGATGTCTCAAAATTCCAAAGCTTACTTCTTGTGCAACTAATTTGAATCTGGAGCATTTTGGGTGAGCTTTTCTTCGCTTTTTTACTTTTGCTATTTTATTCCCATCTCCTTTCTCTTATATCCTAATTTCCATTGGAATAAGAAAATGTTTCGCGGATGCTCTTCTCGGAAGAAAGTTTTGACGAGCTTCCTTTTTCCAGAAATGCATAGGAAACAATAAAAAAAAATAAATAAATAAAAAAAAAGCAAAGAATCTGAAAATTCAAGCTCTTAAGATAAATATAAAATGCTCTTTACTTTCTTTCAACTACTGTTTAAGAACAGTAAATGAAACTTTTAAGACTTTTGTCTCTCTTTTATGAGAATAAATGGGAATTACACAATAAAATGACGATGCTTATTCAGAAAGCTGCAGTAGTGGCAAAATGCTCTTTAGGAAATAGCTAGAGCCTAAGTAAACATGAATGCGTAAAAGCATTTTTCTCGTAATTGAAATTATAAATATATGTACTATATGCTACAAATGTATAAAATAAAAACAGACATTAAAATTATGTTAATAAATAATCTCTCCGTGCTTTACTTATATTATAGTTATTATTTATTCTCCTAGTCTTGAGCTACCTACTCACATGGGGTTTATGGTTAATACTGAAAAAGAAGGGAATGTATGCCAATGGCCAAAGTCTTAGGCACTTTATATGCGACAGTTTTATTTTGCCAGTTTCGCTCCAGTTTTAATGGCGAAAACTCCGTGGGACGGAATCCAAGGATCTCCTTAGTGCCAACGTCTCGAGAAGACTTTCAGCATTTTAAATACCTCCATCCGTAAAGATCCTGTATATTTCCGAAATAGATGTATTGTTGCCAGTCGACGATGAATAATATCTTCCATTTACCTACGATATTATAAAAGGGTTTTATTGAACACAACTTCAGGTTAATAATTTAAAGCGACTTTTTAGATGGATTTCTTAACAAAATTTTTCGTTAACAACTTTTTGCGATCAATGCAATTTTATACCTTTACTATTATAACTAAAGTTTTTTCTAACACACTATTATAAGCGGATTACAAGTTTCTTCTTATATACACAATCAACTGCAACTGTAACGTTTAATCCTTATGACGAAGTTTCGTTGTGACCAAGCACACAGATTAAAATCAGATCACAATCATCTCATATATCTTTCGCACATAGATTTTTTCATTTATTCAGATGGTAATATATATTTAAATTTGTTTGTAAATTTCTGTTTATGTTTATCTCCGAAGGGAAGTGTATATAACTAATGCGAATTGAAATTAAGAAAGTTAATTCTTAAGATGATTGTGAAAAAAACTATTAAAAACTTGTAATAAACTTAGAAGAAGTTTAAAATTTGCATTTATAATAGATCAGAAAACGTATATTTTAAAATAAAGTAAAGAGGAATAATACATAGATATAAAATAATGTAGAACACCACATTGCATAAAAATTTAAGTAAATTACTTGATTTATACACACGCATATATATATATAAAGAAGAAAAACTGAATATGTATATATATATTCAATTTTCTTCTTTAGATATCGATTCTTTTTCAAAATAGAATTGCAGGGGAAACGCCGCATTTAGTTTTATGAATTGGCAAGATATTTTTAACAATAATCTGTTCTTTGAGATATTATATTATAATCTGATGTTTCTCATTCCGCTTTTGTTTTATTTCCATCTTTTTTCTTGATTTTTATTTATTTTCTTATTAAACGGAAAGTGAATGTGTAAATCTCACTTATTTATTCTGTAAATTATTTTCTTTCTTCAGGTTTACTATTTTCGAATAAATTTTAACTTGCTATTTTCAAAATTTTGAAATAGGAATCGAATGAATTATTAAATTTATTTCAAATGAATAACGAAGTAATAAAAATGCTAAATCTTTTCTATTGTTGCATACCAGGAAGTAAAACTGCCGAAATTTTGTTTCTGCAAAGATTTCTTTCTTGAAAGTACCGAGATAAATCCGAACTGATAAATATAAATATAACTGCGGTTGTGATGTAATGTGTTGCTCTGAGTCGTCATATACATTAATAATACTAACAAGGGTGAAATGCTACTCACAAGTGCTACAGTCTAATTGAAAAATCAACATTTTTTGGATATCAATGAAGTTTGTATGATTTCGATACATTTAATTTCATTCGGAGGGAGACAGTTTAAAAGCTATTAGCTTTCTCGGAGTCGGGAATTAAGAGAAATTAAGATAGTGGCCGCTTATTTGTTAATTCTTCCTTGAATTCTTTCTACGTATAATTTTCGAAGTGTATTTTAATAACTAACCTCATTACTATAATTAACACTATAATGCATTTAAATAACTTTTTGAAGTCAATCAAATTAGCACCATGCTTTCTGTGTTCTGGTCTGGCAAATCGATAGGTGAATAAATTGAAATACCACCAAATTTTTCTGAACATAACTCAGAGACAATAATTGAGAGAGGAAACGTTTATTTATATAAAAAATTATTTTGGTTTTGTTTCTGTGCTTAAATCATGCAGAGAATAACTCTTGTAATTAAATTTTTAATCATATTTCTCTAACTAACACCGTAATGCATTTAAAAAATGTTGGCCATGCAAAATGCATCGCCATGAAAGAAGCATCCAAACAGCAGGAAACTTGAATGAAGTGAATATCTCGATGGAATATGCAAATGATTACTCGCACATAGTGGACTATTTCAGCGCTCCTTACAGTACGTATATAAAGGAAGGAAAGTCTGCCGTTTTGAATAACGTGAATTGTTCTCGCGTGAGAGTTTTTTGTGTGTAGCTTCAGTATACCTCGTAGAAAAACACGAGAACATTTCTGAATTTGACCAAGGCAGAATCGTTGAATACAGAGATTGCGAATTATCCTGCGAGATCAGTCATCATGTCGAACATAGCCAAACAACAGCCATGCGAATATGGAATCGGAGGAGGGAACGACTAACGGTGAAAAACAATTTCACACAACAGCTGGTGTCTGAACGAACAATCTGACGTCGTATATAACACCGTGAACTGTTTACTAAGCATCCATTGTTGTACTTATCTTCAATTTTAAACCGCAGGTGCTTGCGTTTGCAGTGATGCACTGAACAGTGGAAATGGACATCCGAATGACATGACATTGTGTTTTCGGACGAATCGCGCTTCTGCATGCAGTACTAGGACTGACGGATTAGAGCTTAGAGAAACCGTGGAGAGAGGCTACTCGAGTGTTGTGTTAGGCATCGTCATACTGGTCCTGCAGCCGGTGTTATGGTGTGGGCTGGTACTGGATTACACTCTCGCAGCCCTCTTACGCAGTATCGGTACCCGTACCATCCAATGCTATATCTCTGAGGTTTTGCAGTCTGTTTTCCTTCCTTATCTCCAGGGCTTGCGTGCGGTCACATTTCAACAGGGCAATGCGCGAATACATGTTGCATACAAGCTCTCTTTTTGGTTCACCAAATTGCATCGTTACACTATCTTGCCTGTTTTCCTAATCTATTGTCCATCGAACATGTCTGATCAATGACTGGAAAATGCCCAATCTGGCATGGCGATTCACTAGACTCTAGATGAACTTTAGCTACATGTGGAGGTAGCATGGCCTGCCATTCCTCAACAGCACACCTAAAGCCTCTTTCACTCTTTCATTTAACACTACAGGATTGTAGCAGCGGTTATTGATAGACGTGGAGGCAGCACTCATACTGGTTTCTCGTCTTCCTCACATCAAAAATACAGTTCAAATCAATTGAAGTTCATAGTACGTGTAATCTCTAAAAAATTTCTCTTTGATATCTCCTGTCCTTGTTCATGTTGTATTTTGGATGATCAAGAGATTATGATCGCTTTTTCTCGATTAGCAACTGTGCAGGTGAATAAGCAGACAAAACTATAAGTTCTTTCCCGCATTATCTGCATTATACTGTTTCAATGCAGCGTTTCTTTAATTTTAAAGAATTAATTATTTTCATTTTTATGATATGAATCATGGCTAATTAAAAACTTAAAAGTGAATTAATATATACACATATATATATATCGCTGTGCACAACGATGGAATTGGGTTTCCAGAAAAATATCAAATCGATATATTAGAGATTTTGGGAAGCCGAAAACATTAATGATAACAGCTTTCGGAAATCTTAGGCATATTATGTAAAATAAATATTCGTTTCTTTGATTATTAAGATTTGCATGCATAATAAATATTTAATCTTCTGATATATATAATTTTTCAGAATTAACTAAAAATGTAATTTACTGAACTTGTAGAGTACCTCACTTTGGAATTCTAAGTTAATGTTGAAAGTGAGGAATCTAAGAACTGATAAGCGAATAATCGCTAGAATTCGGTGATAAGAAACAGCAAGATAGAAGGGTAACTAACCCTTTATTATTCTAATAAGATTTAACAAACTCCGCCTGGGAGTGTACAAGCAAAGCCCGCACTTGGACTTGAACTAAAAAGACTAAGAATTAAACTAAAACGAAGATTAACTAAAAGAAGTATAGCCGAAGCTATCAAGGTTCAATTTGATTTGGCCCCTTAACTTATTTTACTACGAACCTTAGCAAGGGCCTGAGTACGGCCGTGCGTAATAACAGCTTTGAGAGAGAGCGCGGCCAAAAAGGCAGACGCGCGTAAATCAGAAACTCTGATTCTCTCTGACTCAGTAAGTAACGTCGTGGTTTAAATACCGCTCCTTCTGATTAAATATTCAGCAAGATTCCCAAAGTACGTTCTGGCCGGAAGTAGTAAGTTGAATTTAAGAATTTGACAAGAAAGGAACTTAAAATTTAACTGTTAATAAAATTAACATAATCCTTACAAAGTGCAGCAAACGTTTTCAAACAAAACCCTAATGCATTTAGTATAATATTCTGAAATAAGATTTTTCGTGTAAAGATAGGGAAAATATTAATTAACATTTCGTATAACTCAACTCACGAATGAAAGACAAATAATTAATTTTGAATTATTAACTAAGAGGCGTAAACTTTAAAACTGAAGCAATCGATTGAAAAA